ACACACACACACACACACACACACACACACACACACACACACACACACACATACACACACACACAGGTCGCCATCTCCGCAGGCGCAACGAGTGGAGAGACAGTCCACTAAAGCAACGGTGGACATTGCTGGCAGCATCACTCATGATCTCTCGCGGATGGCTTTTGCTATCTCCATAAGGGCGTGGCACATCATTCCGTTCGCCTCATCCGCCGCAGCATAATGTTTCCTCTGCACTTCCACTTCGCTCTCCAGGATTTCGCACTGACGTAACATCATCGAGCATTGCCGCTTGCTCACGCTGTCCATTGTGCTCGCCATAAGCGCACCATGCTTGTCCATTACCTCGGCGACGACCTCAAAGGTTTGTTGCCGCATGTTCTTCCTCTTCCTATAACCGCTGCCGCTGCCCGCGCTGAATGTGGAGTCTTTCGTCGACCCCGGCTCCTCGTCGGCTGCCTCCCCTCCACCCTCAGTGGCCATGGTGTCCCGTGCAGCCCCCGCTCCTGCCGGCATCTGAACCCCACCGACCGCCCCCGTGTTCGCCAAATTTTTCGGGTGGATCATGTGATCCCCCTTCGTCATGGCCTCCATTTCGTCGTACACGCTCCGGTCCATGACGAAGATGAAGCCCTCCGATCGCCTGGCCTTTGATGCAAGCTTGAAGTAGTCTCTCCCGCCGGAGAGGTTATGGAACTTGTGGACCTTCTTGAATTGCTGCATCAAATTGTCCCATTTCTTCCCGCAGTCGACGACATCCCTCGTCACGCCCATCGACTGCAACCTCGCCCGCACGTCCTCCCACTTCCACTCCCTCGTTTTCATGCGGGGGAAACTGGTGCCCATGCCGATGATATACAAATCTTGATCCCTTTTTGCCCTTACGAGTGCGATCGTGTCTCCCACCGACCAGAAATTTCGGCCGCCCTCGCCATCGCTCCGGCCCGTGCCGTCATCCATTTTCTTGCTCCGTCGAGTTTTTGTAGCGTGACCCTTTCGTGCAGTCGCTCCACCGTTCGTCCCCTTCCTCCCCAACGGCCTAATGTTTGGCAAATCGTCGGAGTTGCAATCGTCGTCACCGTCAACGTTGTCACACCCCTAGGCCTCCTCAACAGCAGCTTCGTCCCCTTCGTCCACGTGGAGCCGTTGCACCCCTCTCGTGATTGTCTCCGTTCCACGTTGATGCAAGGCCTGCCTGCACTCTGCCCACAGCTGCCTGCCGTCGCGGTGCACGTCCGCACCTTCCTGACGCAAATCCTCCGGCCGCTGCCGTCCAGGAGGAGCGCCGGATCCGCTTCGCGACACAGGTGACAACTGTCAACCGCATCCACTCCGGACGTTCACGCGCACCGACTCCTCCGCCGACGGTCGACGTCGACTCATTCCGATTACCACCACCTTCACGAAACGATTGAGGCAGACCGCCGTCTCACGGCCCGCACACACCACCATGCGTGTTGTCCGCGCAATCCACACCCGGGTGGGTATTGATGATCCGAGTGTGCGTTGCCGCTGCTCCGCTGCTGCTGGACAACTGGAAGCTGAGATCAACCGCTGCATTGCCGTCGTCATCGCACAGCCCCTCGTTCAGCAGTGACGTGTAAGACCACGGGGTCTCCACCCGCCTGCCTCCGCCGCCCATTCCTGCGTCGACCCACTTCCCAACGGCAAAGTCAACGACCTGGCGTCTCCCCCCTCGTCATCCGACGACGGCAGAGGAATCTCGTGAGAAGGCAGGTGTGCATACAACCTTGGGTCGTATGGCCGCTTCGCCACAGACCCCGCACTGTGTTGCCGATTGCTCGCTCCGGAGGTTGTGCCTGACGGTCTATCGTTGCCCTGTCGTCGATCCATCCTGTCGGCTTTCTTCGAAGATCTCCTTTTGCGAGCCGCGAGCGGGACAAGGCCGACGAAACACACGTGGAAGAAGACAACGACGAGAAGCAGCACGACGACGAGGACCAGCAGAGGCAGCCTGTGCAGCAGGTCGGCCATGTAAGGGCCGTTCGAAGGGTTGCAGTGTGACGTCGGCGGTCGACCGTTCAACGAACAAGCCCGTCGGCAGAAGAAAGATCGATGAAAGTTCTGTGCTCCAACGTGCGAGGCGTGACGACAATCGAAGAAAACGACGATCTTGTCCAATGAGACTGTCGCCGTCGAAAGGGCGCCGGGTGGGAAAAGCATTCGAATTTCGGACCGTTGTCGACGATCGCCCGCCGCAGCAGACCTGACAAGACGCCGGCCGGCATTTCGCGTCGATGGACGGAGGCCTCCCGACGCCGGTTACCGTTTGGAGCCATTGGGGCGCCGTGCAGATTTTGGACGCAGGGATGTCCGTGCTCCGGTTCGCTGGACCACGTCTGGACCACCCTCGAACCGAAATTGTGCGTCGACGCATGCCTTCGCCGCTCCGAAATTCGCGCTTCCTTGTGCTCCGAGGGACCTCGGGAGGTTCCTTGGGGTTAAGGAAAAATTGGCTGTGGCCACAAGGACGCCACAGGGAAATCTCCTTCTGGTGTTTTCACATTTTTTTTCGAGAATCGTCCCCAAGGACAGGTGGAACGATCATTTCCTTGTGGATTTCGGGTCCACAAGGAGTGTCTAACGAGGCCGAATGTCTCATTGATTTCTTGTTCTTTTCCATTCGCATCCTCCAGATCTGAACTCTTCCAACCAGCGAGCTCGAAGGTAGAGAAAATTTTACAGACCAACAACATGGTCCTGTGAATGGAAAAAAGGAAACATCCTTTACATTTTGAATGAGGCGACAAGAAACACTCAGTCTACCATGGATCAAAAACGTAATTCTTGGTTTTTCTCTCGCTCTGCCTGCCTTCCAACTCTCTCTCTCTCTCTCACACACACACACACACACACATCATCACACACACTTTTTTTTCTTTTTTTCTTTTAAGGGAAACTAGTGAGGGTTAATACACCGGAGGACATGTTCATCCAAACAAAAAGAAACACCCTGAAGGTTCCTCATTACGGTAGGATTGTTTTTTGTTTTTTTTTTCCTGAACAAAAAACAAAACAAAAAAAGGGTTGAGAGACAGTTGGGGCCCCAATAAACAGATCGGACTAAAGCATTTTTTGCGTCACGAAAGGTCCACCATTTCCAGTGCAGTAGAAGGAAGTGTTGAAAGTAAGAGGTTACGTTTTAGGGGTTTGGGGGGGTTGAGGGTTCAGGGTAGAGGACTAAGGGGTTAGGGTTGAGGGTTAGGGCCCCTAACCCCTAATTTCTTTATTATTCGTTTTGGCACACATAGTTCATTCTGGTCCCCCAAGAGGCTGGCCAAAAAAAAAACAAAAAAGTTCCTTTTTTTCCAACCATGTGATTTCCAGGCAAAGCTGACACCCCTTAGCCTCGTAACCCCCCCACTCAGCTTTGTGAAGCCCATCATTTCCAATTGATCCAGTTTAGAATGGCCCTTTAGCTGTAACAGAGATAGTGGCTCTGCTGGAATAAGTCTTGCCGGAGGAGGGGAGTGTAGGGGCAGAAGTGAAGCTTTGGTTGCCGTTGTGTTATGCCTTCTTTAGAATTTTCCTGGTCCTGCCATGAAGTCTGCAGTTATAGTTTTAATTGTTCTTGCCAGAAAAAGCATTTGGGATTGCTGTATCTCTCCTTACTGGTTTAGAAGTTTCTCACAAATTGCGCAGTAATTTCTCAGCCAAAGCTGGATAGTGGCCCCAGTGCTTCAATTGTTCTCTAAGAATTCTTATAAGGGGCGCTTGGCCTGGTTCCTTGCACTTGCTGCTCCCCACGAATATATTGGAGCTAAAAAGGATGGCCCTTTCAAGAGAATGGCCTGTTCGAACAGAACTGAGTGGGCCATAGAGTGTACAGGGGAACACATATCACCAGTGGAATCTCTTTGCCGCAGGTCCAAAATCACTTTTGGTGTCATTTTTGCACCCTGGCTGGGCCAGTAATGGCCGCTGTGTAAAAATGGCGGGAAAGTGTTTTGCAGGGTGCAAAAATGACGTCCAAAGTGATTTTCGGGCCTGAGTTATCTTTCTCCCCGGTTGGGGGGAAATGGATACAAAGGTTTCTTCGCAAGGAGTTTTTATGGTTATCACGGCTTACCCTTTTTGATTTTTTGTCTTTACTTTTTTTGTAGATGTGCTGCATCACGTGGGCGCGGCACACATGCGCAACTTGCACGCACGTCCACATGTATGATATGTTCTCAAATATGTTTTAAAATGGGACACTGGGCCCAGTTCCCATCACATGCTGCTCCCTACGAATAGATTGGAGCATTGTCCCAGAGAAAAGAACAAAAAAAAAAACCTATGTTTTAAAATGGGACACTGGGCCCGATTCCCAGCACATGCTGCTCCGGACGAATAGATTGGAGCATTGTCCCAAAAAAAAGAACAAAAAGTGCACAGGAAAAGAATATATTGGGGCCACTTCAGACTACTCATTGGACATATTCTCCTTTCCAAAAGAATATTTTGGGACCACTTCAGACTACTCATTGGACATAGAGGTGGACCCCACTGCTTTGCGGCAAAGCTTTGGAAGACGATTTGTGAAACCCCACTGCTTTGTGGCAAAGGTTTGGAAAAAGCTCAGATATGACGTGGCAGACGTTTTCACTCAGTTTTGTTTTGCCCGTTCCATGCGGTTCGGCCATTCTGAGGGAGTAGGGGGGGGGGGACCTCCCTCGGTTTGGCCATCCCATGTGGAAAGGAGAGTCAGGGATTGGGTGAAAACCGAGACAAGCGGACGTGAAGTTTCCATATAGGGAAAGTTTTCCCTATCCGGTAACCGGCACCAACGGAACTGCCAAAAATTTGTGCTGCAGTGGGGTCTGCTTTTCTCTTTCCCACCTCCGGGGCCTACGATTTGGGTTTTCTGGAAGCTTTCCAGGCAGAAATTTGCCGCAAAGCAGTGGGGTCCACCTCATATTCTCCTTTCCAAAATAATACTTCGGGGCCACTTCAGACTACTCATTGGACATGTTCTCCTTTCCAAAAGGTCCCCTGTAAAGAATCAACAGGGATTCCCTGCATTTCCAAGGATGTCCATTGAATTCCTGGCAGATCTCGAGCAGGCCAGCAATTTATAGTGGATTCGGATTCAGGTGTGTGTTCCAAGAGTTATGGGTTACTACAAACACTACAGTAGCTGTCTCGTTTTTTTGTTTTTCCTTTTCTTACATACAGTGGCCCTAAGGGCCGGGCTCCACTCATCAGTACTTGGAGAAAAGAAAACGTATGGCTTGTATAGTTCCAGTTTCTAGGAGAAGATTCATTCTAGTTTTGCACATTTTGTGAGTAGTGGAGTGAAGCCCTGAAAATCACATGCGGAGTTAGTAAGTCAGTAACCCATAACTGCTGAAACACAGACCTGAATTCGAAGCTACACCATATATAGCTGGTCTGCTCCCTCCTTACTACAAGTCACTGGAGTTAGTGAGTCAGTAACCCATAACTGCTGAAACACGGACCTGAATTTTAAGCTACACCATATATAGCTGGCCTGCTCCCTCCTTACTACAAGTGCAGTGACTACCCGTCATGTGACCACCCTTCTCCTGCCGACGAGACCCTTGCCAATTTTTGGCAGGGACCTTGTGAAGAACCGGCAGGGGTGGTCTGAAAAATGGGAAAGGGCTCTTTGCTCTTTCTCTCTCTCTCTCTCTCTCTCTCTCTCTCTCTCTCTCTCTCTCTCTCTCCAGCGTGTAAATACACACGGTTGGTTTTCTTTTTTTTTTCACTTTTTTTTTTCTTCTTTTTTCTTTTCTTTTTTCTTTTCTTTTTTTGCGTGCGCACATCTGCGATTAGCGCAGCGCACTTCATCTACATACTGAAGTATGGAACATATACAAAGGAAGTTGAGATATGGGGGCCATTACCCAGCTTTGGCTGAGGATAGGATCATGAGCAATTACTAGCCAGTCGACAAAGGGCCTCATGAGATAGGGTAAAGTTCAGAAAATGCCTGAAAAACTGTGAGAAGTCTCTTTCCTCAGTGGGATCTCATATAACTGTCGAAGTCAATTGATATAGCACAATAGGCTCTGAGTCAACATCCATTCCCAACAGCTACCTGTTTGACATACAGTAGTGCAGCACTGACAACACACCCATTGCGAACACACCAAACGGTCTCTCCCTTGCAACGCCGTTGTCCGAGGCAGACACGTTGTCCGAGGCAGACACGTTGTCCGAGGCAGGCATGAACGAAAGGACCCTGAATGTACTGAAGCCGAGAAAAATAAGATGGAATACCAATTCTGCCATCATGCACATTGACGTTAACCCAGCACAATAGTCATACAGTAGCTTGAAATACACGGCTTAACAATTGAATACTTCCTGATAGCAGGTAGAGTCCTCAATCTGAGGACATTGAAACTCTGAACTTCATAGCGTGCTTTCGGACTCTCACTCGGAAGTGGAGGCACAACCACCAAATGCCGTAACATGCTGCCCTCATGGCAGGCAGGAGTGTTTATTTCCACACAGACTCTCAAAGGCTTCCAAGGCACCTTCCGGATTAGAGATGGCCACCTACCAAGTGGAAACTCTTATTCAAGGCATATACAGGTCGAGGTAATTCAAACAGTAATACTCAATGTTCAGATCCAAGAGATCTGTCTGTCGTGAGCCACAGGAAAAAAAACATATGCAGAAAGAACGAGAAAATGTCATGACTGGTCTCCTTCGCCCTGGCTTGGTTCTAGGCTATCTTTTTCACGGCAGGCTGAATTATCCCTGAATAACTGGGTATTACAGATGAAACATCATGAAAGTGTAGCGAGTGAGTGGGTGGGTGAGTGTGTGTATGACTGAGAGGCCGACTGAGAGAGTAAGGGAGTGAGTGAGCGAATAACCGACTGATTGAGTGAGGCAGTGAGTGATTTGGTAGGTCTGGAGTAAGTGATTCAAAACATGAACATTTGGATGATGCGCGCTGATAACCAGATAACCTTAACACGTTCTATATGAAAAGTCTAATCAGAGATCGTGCTTTAAAAAACTAGCAGAGTACAACCTTAAGTGATCCATCCATGTATGTAGACTGAGTATGTGGTAAAGTGAAACCATCCAAACGCCATCACGAGGTTTTATTTCCTCATTCGGCCCTGTCATGCCTGCCATTCCCCTTCAAAACCGGGACTGAGTTTGACTTATTGACAAAGGCTTATCCGCCGCTCTTCTTCGAGCGAGTCAGCAAGTTCCACTTTATGGGCAATACTCTCCAGCGCTGGCAGAACAGCACCTTCACCTGTCGTTATGCTTGGCCGGTGATGTTTGTTCAAGCTCGCACATCTAAGGCCCACTCGAGCTGCTTCCAAAGCCAGATCGATGTCCCAACTTCCAGCATTTGGGTCCAGGGTACTTCTGAAAGTTGTGGCATCTTCCACTGCATCCTTCATGATTCCCAATGCATTTTTGAACTTCCCAGTTAGCATCTCCAGGAGGGTTATACCAAATGCATAAGTATCAGTCTCCGGAGTAAAGACCTCTGTTTGAAAGAATTCCGGGGCCAGGTACTGTACATCACTTCTATTCATATCAGGTGTTTCACCATCTTTAGCAAACACTGGGGCAAGCACGGCCATATCAACATTTGCGATTTTGGCAACAAAGCTATTATCCAAGAAGATGTTGTCAAGCGTGATGCTGCAGTGGACTATGGGACCACCGCCTGGTGACTGGTGGGAGTGAAGGAAGGACACCGCTTGGGCAACTTGAGCTATTATCCGCAGGCGAATGTACCACGGCAAAAAGCCACTCTGTGACACTTTGGCAGAGGATATCCAGTCTTTCACATTTCCATGGGCCATATGCTCGTACACGAGACAATTTCCTTTGTAGCACACTCCAAGCAGAGTCTGCAGGTGTGGATGTTGAAGAGACTTCAACAGGTCCAGAATCGCCATAGTCAATCGGGTATGCTGATTTTGTGCCGTGCTCTTTTCATACCCGAGTCTCTTTACCACCACAGGAGTGATCTTTCCCTTGTACATACATCCATAATGTCGCTGTTCAAGTTTGCAGTCATCATGGAAGCTGTTTGTGGCATTCTTCAATTCGTCTACGGAAAACTCTCTAAATGGATGCATGTCCCCTCCTGAAACCCCCTTCGGCACTCCATCACACCTTTTCAATATCTCACTTGCACCTCCATCCATTTCTGACCTGCATTCCAAACCTTGAGCCCCGACCGTTGGTTTCTCAAAACTCTCTTCGAGTTCCTCCCTTTCTGCCAGCAGATTGCTTATTTCGTTTTCCAATTTCATGATACTCTCTAAATGCATGCCTTTTTCCGTCTCATGCTCTGATTGGAATCTCTCGAATCTCTCTCCGAATCCCTGCATCTCCGTCCTGACATCACTTAACTCAGTCTCAAGTTCCTTCATCCCTTTTGCGTGTATTTGCCTCTCTTCCTCAAATCCCTGTTCAACCACCATCCTCTCTGCCCTCGCACTACTCAACTCAGTCTCCAGTTGCTTGACTCTTTCTGATTCCATGCCTTTTTCCCTGTCATGCATTGATTGAAATCTCTCAACTTTCTCTCCTAAGGCCTGCCTCTGCATCCTTACATTGCTTAGCTCAGTGTCAAGCTCCTTTACCCTTTGGTGTTTTGTTTGCCTCTTTTTCTCAAATCCCTCTTCAAGTGCTCTCCTCTCCGCCCTGAGAGTGCTCAACTCGGTCCCGATTTGCTTGACCCTTTCTGAGTGCATGCCTCTTTCCGTGTCATATTCTGACTGAAGTCTCTCCAATTCCTTTTCGAAGGCCTGTCTCTCCAACCTTAGATTGCTTAGCTCAGCCTGAAGCTTCGCTAGCTCAGCCTGAAGCTTCGCTAGCTCAGCCTGAAGCTTCGCTAGCTCAGCCTGAAGCTTCGCTAGCTCAGCCTGAGACTCCAGTAGCTTAGTCTGAAGCTCCTGTAGCTTGGTCTCAAGCTCTTTTGTTATATCATTCACCACCGTTCTCCATTTCCTTGCATCATTTACTCTTTGATGCGGGTAACCGTCCCGGTTCGAACTAGAAAACTCGGTCTCCAGTAGCTTGACCCTTTCTGAGTAAATGTTTTCTTTGGAGGGTTGCGACCCTATGTCCATAATGTCCACCCTTACATTTTTAAACATATTGGAAACCTTATTTTTCCACCCAATCCATTCTTGTCGTGCATTATTGTCATAGCTGTGTTCACTCCAGATCGGCCCCGTGTCAACAACGTCAAGCTCTATCTTTATCGCCGCCAGTCTGCTCAACACGCTCTCCAGTGGCTTTATCTTCGGTGAAAGTGTGCTCAACACGGTCTCCAGTTGCTTTATCTTCAGTGAAAGTGTGCTCAACACGCTCTCCAGTTGCTTTATCTTCAGTGGAAGTGTGCTCAACCCGGTCTCCAGTTGCTTTATCTTCAGTGAAGAAAAGTTGTGCTTGGGTGCTGCTGCAGAGTCGTGCTCACCGACTATGGTAATGACACGCAGTGTTTTCTTACAGAGACGCACAAGGGTATTGTCATTCCCACAGAGCAAGCTGCCTGACAATCCATTCAGACCACTAAAAAGCATCTTGAACTGATAATTTGAATCACTCCAGACCTTGATGGCACCGTCCTCGGATGCACTCAAAATGTACGGCAACTGTGGATGGAAGAAAGCGTGCTCGACCGCATGTTCATGCGCATCGAAAGTGGTCAGGCACTTTTTCCTCGGGTAATCCCAGACCTGTAGCTTGCCAGATTTATGACCGGTGATCAAAAGCGACGTCTGGGGTTTAGTGCAGAATCGAACGGAAGTAACTTCTCTCTCTGCTTCCAATGTTCGGAGAACAGTCATGGTTTTCGCATTCCATATGTTGATTGTCCCGTTCCCATGAACGGTAACAAAAATGTCTGATTCAAGTGGATGAAAGCACATCTTGGTCATCTCAGGCAAATTGGTTCCTCTCTCTTCGTGCAGGTTCTGGTCCAGATCCCAGAAGTAAATATTGTAGCGAGAACTACCAGGTGGATGCACAGCCAATACTACACGCCGGCGTGAGGAATGTACGGCCCAATTGCTGAAATCAGTCGTATCAAGGGCGAATGTCCAGCTCTCCGTAGAGGAGGAGGAATCTGGAGGAATCTCATACTCCACCAGCTGCGTTTTGAGGACAACCATAACCCGAACTTCCTGGCCTACGAACTTCACTCCCCAGGGTTTGATACCTTTGGGAAGCTCCCAGTCAACTCTCGTGTCATTTTCATAATTCCACGCTTGAAGATTATAGTTACCATCATCATGGCGACCGAGAACAATCCATGGCAAATGATGGTGAACATCCAAGAGTTCTTTCCCCTCCTCGATATCTCGCTCCTGAAACTTCAGTGACAGCTCCACGTCCGGATCTGCCATTGTCGATGCACCGGGCTCGGGTGACTTCATCCTGTGCCGGACTGGTTTGGGTCCCTCTTGAGCGTCCCGGCCTGACATGGCGGATGAACCAGGTGTGTGGCGCAATGACTGCAACAAGACGGAAAATATCAAAATGAGGGCGCTGGAAATGGCACGGAGAGGAACCGAAAGGCAACAATACTGGAAAAGGAAACGAAACTGCTGAGCAAAAAGGTAACAGGATAATGCAACGGAATGAAACTGCATCCCAAAAACGACGAAAGCTATCGGAGACAATGATGAAAAGCAGTTCGAACTTCGAAGAGGAGTAGCAGCGAGACGATGATTAAAAACAGTTGAACAGAAGTAGCAGCGAGAGGATGACGAAAACAGGACCAAAAGAAGTACCAGCAGACACTGCGAGGGGAAAGGGACGACAAGAACTTCTCAAGGCATGGTTAGCTTCACCCAGTCGCACCTAACGACACCTGCATTTGATGGTTCTGCACCTGACCTCGATTCTTTGATGCTCGATGAGGAAGGAATCAGAATTGAGGATGGCACTCACGCACTTGAGCATATTAACTTAATTGCGAATTATCACAGTCGTGTACATTGGCCATGATTGCAGTTAGATACATCTGATAAAGGTGTAGCTTCAGTGTGCCCTAAGCGAGTACAGTGTCTTTTACTGCGTCTGAGCATTTCCATGTCAGACTTGGAAGAACGGATGGCCACTGAAGAACGAGAGATGGGAAGAGGGGAGTGGGTGCAGCAGACACCCCCTCCTGCCCGGTGGTGACAAAGTGATGGAGAAGAAAGAACAACGAGCGATGGTCCAGTCACTCGCCTGACCATTCAGCTATGGAGAGGAAAAGGCGAAGGAATTCATATACGTCACACCTAACCAATTCACCGGCGACGAACAAATCATGAGTTCGGTCCTGTTGATACGAAGCCAAAAAATAAGGTAATATGTTACGAGGCAAAAGAAAAGAAAAGAGAAGAAAAAAAAAGAGCTAGTATCCCTCTTTGCTTACGTGTACAATCGTTAATTTCAGGAAGAGCGGAAAATGCGAATCCACCAATATCTTCGCTTCCTGTTTTGATGGGCCAAGACGGGATCAATCTGGATGAATAGCACGATATGAAGTCCTCTTAAAAATCAATGCGCCAGCGAAGAGAGGAAGATGATCCGGGAAACGCAATTTTTTGTGCTACCTCACTATTCACGAACACCGGAGAGGAAGGGGGAAAGAATATGTGAGGTCGAAAAGGGAGAGAAAAAAACGTTACCAAGCAGCAAACACAAGCCCACAATAATGAGCGCTAAGATATGAGTGTGGGACCGACAAATCAGGTCTGCAGAGGAATAAAAGATTGACATGCCAGAGAGGCTGCCCCAGCCCGGCAAATCGGTGGGTTAGCTTATGAGGAAATTCCAGGCGCGAAAAGAATCAAACAGAGAGGCATGAGGAACGGGCGATGGACAAATCGTGGTGCCGGTCAAAACTACCCTGTCTCCCTCCTTTCTTTTTTTCCCTTATTTTGT